CTACTTTGTTTAAAACACACAAGTTTTCAGCCAATGTAATTCAAAGGCTTCAAATATTTAAATCATTTGTAAGCAAACTTCAAGCAGCACATACAACCCCAGAGTATATCAAACTCATTACAATGAGATATTCAAACCATTCCTAAAATGCCCACATATAAACAATTTATTTATAATTGATGCGAGGCTGCAGTGGGAGGATTGCTTTTGCCCAGAAGTTGGAAGCTGCAGTGAGCTATGATCACACCACTGCATTCCAGCTTGGGCGACAGAGCAAGACTCTGTCTCTAAATAAATAAATTAAAAACAAAAATACAATTTGCAAGCCTGCCCGTGGCCATCCCAAAGCAGTCTCTGTACATCATTTGTGGTCAGGAGTGTGGTAAATAAGAATGGATTTTTTTTTCCGGGAGTGTCCCAGGATATTTAGTATCCAGTCTCCCTCTTTGCTTCTCCTTCTGGCCTTGTAGGCAGATGGGAACCCACTGCACAAACCCCAAACCTCTTCACGTTGAAATCTGACACTGAGAAGAGCAGCTTGGGGGAAAAGCCCTAGAGATACTGAACCAGGGTTCAGAATGAATTTGTTCTGTTTGCCTGCCCTCCACCTCCCCATAGCCATGGCTCCCCAGAGTCTGCTCAGAGCTCTCCTGAAATCCCATTCACAATGTCTCAGGAATATTAGAAAGTGGGGCTTTCCAAGAGATCTTTCGTGTAAACCTGATTCCATATAGATTTGCCAGAACCAAATTAATTTGGAAAGTCCTTAATATTTGCCTTTCTGATAAAATAAAAATAAAAATTGGCATGTACATTTTTTGTCATTGAATTTTTAAAAGCAATTTTGGACATTTTTTTTTTTTTTGAGACGGAGTTTTGCTCTTGTTACCCAGGCTGGAGTGCAATGGCACGATCTCGGCTCACCGCAACCTCCGCCTCCTGGGTTCAGGCAATTCTCCTGCCTCAGCCTCCTGAGTAGCTGGGATTACAGGCACGTGCCACCATGCCCAGCTCATTTTTTGTATTTTTGGTAGAGACGGGGTTTCACCATGTTGACCAGGATGGTCTCGATCTCTTGACCTCGTGATCCACCCGCCTCGGCCTCCCAAAGTGCTGGGATTACAGGCTTGAGCCACCGCGCCCGGCGCAGTTTTGGACATTTTTAAGGCCAGGTATGGTGGCTCACGCCTGTAATCCCAGCACTTTGGGAGTCCCAGGCGGGTGGGTCATTTGAGGTCAGGAGTTCAAGATCAGCCCTACCAACATGGTGAAACCCCATCTCTACTAAAAATGCAAAATTAGCTGGGCATGGTTGCACGTGCCTATAATCCCAGCTACTTGGGAGGTCAAGGCAGGAGAATCGCTTGAACTCAAGAGGCAGAGGTTGCAGTGAGCTGAGATTGTGCCATTGCACTCCAGCCTGGGCAACAAGAGTGAGACTCATTCTCAAAAATAAATAAATAAATAAATAAATAATAAACAAACATTTTTAAGTGTACAGTTCAGTGTTAGGTCCATTCACATTGTTGTGTAATCATCACTACTATCCATCCACAGAACATTTTTCATCTTGCAGAACTGAAAGTGGATACCCACTAAACACTAAGTCCCAGCCAGGCATGGGGCCTCACAACTGCAATCCCAGAACTTTGGGAGGCTGAAGTGGGAGGATTCCTTGAAGGCAATAGTTCAAGACCAGCCTGGGCAACATAGCAAGATCCTGTTCTACATTTTTTTTTTAATTAGTCGGGCATGGTGGCATGTGCTTGTAGTCCCAGCTACTTGGGAGGCTGAGGTTGGGGGATCACTGAGCTTGGGAGATCAAGGTTGCAATGAGCCATGATTGCACCACTGCACTCCACCGTGGGTGACAGAGTGAGATCCTGTCTCAAAAAAAGAAGGAGAACGAGATGGAGGAGGAGGAGAAGGAGAAGGAGAAGAAAGCTGCTTTCAAGTTCTTTTTTAGAAAGTGCTGGTATATTGACCATGCTCTCTTAAAAGAACATTTTTCTTAAGTCAAATACTTTGTCAGCAATAATCCCACTGTTCCTCAAATTTCACACTGGTTCAAGATTCTGTTTTAATTTTGGTGACAAATACTGTTGGATGAGGAGATAATTTTTCATTATGCAATCCAATGAACTCACCATTGAGTAAGAAGTATTTTTTAAACAAAAATATGTATTTGAAATTTAAAAATAAGCCAGTGAATTGATGAAAGTCATGCAATCTAATGTGAAATATAGAGTAAGATGGATTGTATTGAAATATAATTTTCAGAAAATTGAAAACATGACTTATGCAAATATAAGATGAAAACCTATCTAAGATTCTATTCACGTAATTGATTAATGAAGGACTTGGTAAGTTGTTGACCTCAAAGGAGTTCAAACTGGTAAGATGCTAAGATTCAAAGGAAAATGTGACATCAGGAATGAGACATGAATTTGCGAATAGATGCCAAACTGGCTAGTTAACATCACATAGGACAAAATGAGATTAGTGGGTTTAACTTATTTATTTTCTGGCAGAAAGGACTGCGCACTTGTATTTCTCCTGGAAAACATTTGTTTTCACTGCTGTGGACATAAATCTTTTGCATAATCATCCGTTTTCTGCAAGTTAACGTCTAGCCTTCTAGGGCTGCAAAATAGCCTCATCAATAGAAAGCCACCCAAGGTGCACCCAGCACCCCACTGAAAGCATACCCAGTAATCTCTTTTACTCATTTCCGAGTTTTGGACAATTTTTTCTGACATTATCTATATATATCTGTATATGTATGTATACATATGTATTTAAATTTATTTATTTTGCAAGGGGGCGCGGTGGGGATGGACAGGCATAGGTTGGTTAAAAATCTTAACTGAACAGTATATTTACTGAAACAATGACATGATTTCCAAGTTCAAAGTTCATGGAGAGCTGAACTTAAAACATTTGTCTAAATCAGAGAGACACACCATCCATCTATTGCTCCCCAAACAGGCCCCTGTCTTTCTTGAACAAAAATAATCATCAAGAAAGCCTACTGAAAAAAGAGCTTTCGAGGCCGGGTGCAGTGACTCACTCCTGTCACCTCAGCACTTTGGGAGACCAAGGTGGGAGCACTGCTTGAACCTGGAGTTGGAGACCCAGCCTGGGCAACATAGCCAGATCCTGTCTCTACAAAATAAATTTAAAAATCAGCTGGGTGTGATGCTGCGCCGCTATAGTCCCGGCTACCGGGGAGGTCGAGGTGGGAGCACTGCCTGGGCCCAGGAGGGTGAGGCTGCAGTGAGCTGTGCATTCCAGCCTGGGCAACAGAACTAGACCCTGTTTCCCCAAGAGGAAAAAAGAGCCTAGGAAGATAAGGTGGTTTTTTTTTTTTTTTTTTTTTTTAAAGAGAGGGGGTCTCACTGTATTGCCCAGGTGGACCCTGAATTCAAGCAATTCTCCTGCCCTTCAGCCTCTCTAGCAGCTGGGACTACAGGCATGCCACACCTCACCCAGATTAAAGTTGACTTTTAACTACTTTTTAAGACTGCACAACTTTAGCCCTTATATGGGTGTGTTTGAAAGTGGTTAGATTTAGGGCAGGCTCATGGCAGAGAATAAGCAAGTGAGGATATGGGGTGAAGTAGTGGGGTGCCTGCTCTCACATGCTCTCCCACAGACATTACAAGCTCAAAGCCATCAAACTGGATCTTCTTTCTTTCCTTCTCCCCACTAGTCGTAATCCAGTGGATTCCACTCCTACACACTGCCCTCTTCACACTTGTTTGTCAATGACCAGCTGCAGGACACGTCTTTATATATGTATGGAGAGAGAGTCTTACTCTGTGGCCCAGCCTGGAATGCAGTGGCGTGAGCTTGGCACACTTCACCCTCCATCTCCTGGATTCAAGTGATTCTCCTGCTTCAGCCTCCCAATTAGCTGGGACTACAGGTGCCCACCACAATGCCCACCCAATTTTTTTTTTTTTTTTAGTAGTAGTAGAGATGGGGTTTCACCATGTTGTCCAGGCTGGTCTCCAGCTCCTGACCTCAAGTGATCCGCCCACCTCGACCTCCAGGACATGTATTCTATTGCCTGATTCCTGCAGCAACTCCGGGCTGGACTCTCTGCCTTCCAAGTCCCAATCCCAATCCCAACCCTAGTCCCACAGAACAGACACAGAGATGTGTCAGTGATGAAGTCATTCCCTGCTTAAAACTGTGACAGCTTCCCAGCGACCTCCTTCACTTGGGTTAGAAGGGCTAACTTCTCTCTGCAGCTCAACGCCTCTCTCCAACCCTCTGCTACCACCCTAAAGAGATTTCCTTCCTCATTTCTACAACAAACTCCCGCTTGGATTCCTCCCCAACGTCCTTCTCATCCTTGGGTCTGGGTTTACTCCTTGGGGAAGGAGTACGGCTGTGATGGAGGGAGGGGCTGGCCTCAGTGCTTCCCATGCTGGGTGTCCTCGGAGCAGCGGGGACTTATGCCAGCCCCTTCCTCCATCACAGTTCTACTCTCACACAAGGTGACCAGGTGTCACCTGGTCATGTCTGTCGCCCCTGGGTGGTTTGGGCCTGTGGCTTCCGACATCTCACCTGAGCCTTACGCTGAGGTCACATTATCCAGCTCCCTTTTACGTCCTCGAAGATTTCCGCCCCTTGACCCCCTCATCCCCCTCCCCGGGGGTGCCTCCCTGAGTCCCCGAGGGGCTTGGATGCCCGGCGACATTTCCTTCCCAGCACCCTCCGGAGCTCTGCGTCCTGCTGTGTCATTACCCGATGAGTGTCTGTCCCCTTTTGCGAAAGTGAGCGGCGACAGGGCCTGGCACGTAGCAAGTGCTGGAAGGGGTGACGGTGCGGAGCCAGGGACAGACGAGGAACGGGAGTGTCCCGCGCCCAGACCTGGCCGGGAGGAATCGGGGACCCCGGGACGTCCCCCGCTCTCCATCGCGGGGCCGGAAGCCGCCGGCTGGTGCCCTCCCCGCGATGCCCACAGCCTTATCTCTGCGCCCCGAGGGCCGCGGGAGGAGGCGCGGGCGCGCCGGGAGGGACTGGCAGTGGCATGGGCCGGAGGGCCCGGGGCGCTGGCCCGACTAGCCGCTTGCTACCGCTGCTGCTGCTGCTCCGCCTGGCCCGCGGCGCCGCCGGAGAGCCGGGCACCGACGGTGAGTGCGGGCGGGGACGGGCACTGGCGGTCGGTGGGGCCCCTGGCAGGGCCTCAAGGACGCTAGGCGCTCGGATGCTTCCCGGTCCCTGGGCCCGGGCGGCGCGGTGTCAAGGCGTGGGGCGCAGGTGGGGCCCGCGCCGGTTATTGGAGATCGGGAAGGAGGAGCTCAGAGAAGCGGGAGATGGCGGGGGAGCTCCCCGCTGGGCTTCCCTGACCACGCCTGAACCCGCATCGCCGTGGGACGCAGGTTTTGAGGCGACCTGGCTGGGCCCCCAGGGACCACCGCTGCCCGGGAGGCGGGGTGGGGGCTGGGCGCGAGCGGGGACTTGGGCAGGGCGGCGCCCGGGGCAGGGCGGGGAGGGCCAGGGCGTTCCGCGGCCCTATCCCGCTTCCGGCTCTGCGCCGGCTTTTGCATGACACATTTTTGACCCGAAGCAATTTTCTTTCCACTTTTAATTTTATCATGTTCATGAACTGCCGGATGCTCAACACGGTGAGAAAGAAGTGTAAGGAAGAGTATAGGAATGAAGCCATTCATTCACTCATTCATTCACCAGACGGCCCTCCAGCAGCTTCCCTGTGCCAAATGACGGCGGGCAGTGCGGGCCCTCCTGGAGCTAATTGTCTGGAGGATTCAGACCAGCACGTGTTCCATTTCCAGGCGATCGAGGGAGTTGTCTTTGCTCCTCTGCAAAGTGCAATATTGAGCGGAGTAGGAATTACACAGAGGATTCAGACACGCAGGGGAGGTGACATTCATCCAAATAACTGTAATACAAGGCAGAACGGCATGAGTGATCTGAGATGGCCTAGGTGGTGAGGGCCGGGAAAGATTCCTTCTAGCTTGGGAAATCGGTAGTGACCCCTGAGCTGGGCCATCAAGGACTAGTTATATTTGGATATGGGAAAATGTGGGAAAGACATCCCAGCTCATAGCAGAAGGCACTGCGGCCTCTCCACAAATGTGTGGAATGAATGAATTCCTTCAGAATTCAGACAGGGGTAGAAGGGAAGGAAGCACGTGGAGGTACGGAAGGCAGAGGGCAGAGTGCTTTGATTGGCAGACCTAGGCCTTTGGACTTAGCTGTGGCTGGAAGCCACTGGAAGCTGTTTCAGGGAGTGACATGAAAAGTGGGTCCAGCCGGTTCCAGGTGCTTAGGGAGCCGCGGGTTACGGTGCAGATGGCTAAATCCAAGAACCACACCATACACAACCAGTCCCGAAAATAGCACAGAAATGGCATCAAGAAACCCCAATCACAAATATACAAACATGCACTTTGCCAAGAAGCACAAGAAGGGCCTAAAGAAGATGCAGGGGAACAATGCCAAGGCCATGAGTGCACCTGCTGAGGCCTTGCCCTTATAAAGCCCAAGGAGGTTAAGCCCAAGATTCCAAAGGGTGTCAGGCTGTGGCAGCCAAAGGCCAAGGCCAAGGACAAGCCAAGGCCCAGTTTGCAGCTCCAGCTTCAGTTCCAGCTCAGGCTCCCAAAGGTGCCCAGGCCCCTACAAAGGCTTTAGAGTAGAGATCTCTGTCTGCCAATGTGAGGACAGAAGGATTGTCCTTGGGCTGCTATCTGCATGGGGCTGGTGTTGTCCTTTGCTATTTGTACAAATAAACTTGAGATGGGGGGGAGAGGGTCTAAGGAACCCCAATCTTCCTTACTAATACCAAACACTGATCGTCATATGGAAATGGAAGGAAATTTCTATGTGTTGAGATACAGGGGGACTTGTGGTTGAGATTCCTCCCTGCCATCCCCACCCCCATTCTCTTCACCTTGGGAATCTCTTTGCCTGGTGGGTATTTTGATAGCTCGATCTTCTGGAGTGGCCATTTTTGTAATACTAGGTGCCCTGCGTGATGGCTCAGGCCTGTAATCCCAGTACTTTGGGAGGCCAAGGCAGGCAGATAACGAGGTCGGGAGATCGAGACTATCCTGGGTAACACAGTGAAATCCTGTGTCTACCAAAAATACAAAAAATTAGCCAGGCGTGGTGGCACACTCCTGTAGTCCCAGCTACTCGGGAGACTGAGGCAGGAGAATCGCTTGAACCTGGGAGGTGGAGGTTGCATGAGCTGAGATCACATACTGCACTCCAGCCTGGGCGACAGTGAGACTCCATCTTAAAAAAAAAAGATATATATATATATTAGATGTATTAGGTGCTCTGGTTGGATTACTTCCTTGCCTCCATGTCCCAGGACAGTGTGCCTAGGACTTGTAGATGCTTGGCATCTATTTCAGGATCTTCATGTGATCTCTCTAAGGTAGGAAACTGTCCAGTATGGCCCCATTGAATTGCTAGGCCAGGATAACTGAATGCAGCTAGCAGCTACCTAAGGTCATCTGAAACTAGAGGCTTTAGGGTGAATTTGGGGAAACAGAAGTCAAGGCTTTCTGGTTGAGCCTCCTGTCTTTACATAGACACTCTTCCTTCATTTTCAACCTTGGAGAACCTGGTTTTACGCAGGGCAGGTTTCCCGACAGTGGACAATGTAGGGAAAGACTGGAGGCTTGGCCAAGCCCATTGAGGAAGTTGTTGTAGTAGCTGGCCTGGAAGTTCTGAGGACTAGGCCCACAGTAATGACAGCAGAAGAGGACTGAATGTAGACAATAAGAAATGGACCAGGGCCAGGTGTGGTGGCCCAAGCCTGTAATCCCAGAACTTTGGGAGGCCGAGGCAGGTGGATCACCTGAGGTCAGGAGTTCAAGACCAGCCTGGCTAACATGTTAAACCCCATCTCTACTAAAATATATAAAAACTAGCTGGGCACAGTGGTAGGTGCCTGTAATCCCAGCTACTCGGGAGGCTGAGGCAGGAGAATCGCTTGAACTGGGGAGGCAGAGGTTTCAGTGAGCTGAGATTGTGCCACTGTACTCCAACTTGGGAGACAGAGCAAGATTCTGTCTTAAAAAAAAAAAAAAAGAAATGGACAGGAAGGAAGGATTTAATAACAGATGTGAAGGTGCAAGGGAACAGAAGGGGAAACATGACAATAAGGCTTGGCGACTGGGCGACCGGGTGTATGATTTCATGGGAGGAGAAAGATCGGGAAAGAAAGATGATTAGTTGTTTTGGACATCCTGAATTTGAGGTGCTGTTATGGATTTAGAGAGATGAAATCAGCAGACAGCTAGGGCTGCGGGTGATAGGTGTATGCAAGCCATGCAGACTTGATGGTTGCTTGAAACCTTGAGGTTGACAAGATTGAGAGGATGAAGGACAGATTCTTGGAGTGGATTTTTGGAGTTCAGTTGGTAGATGCAAGTCAAGAAGAAAGAAGCAGCAACCAGCTAGTATGGAGGAAGACTGGGCTTGTTTAGTCAAGGAAACCAGGGGAGGGGAAGCCAAGGGGTGGAGATTGAGAGAAAGGCTTTGAACTGGATGGCTTGGTCAATGGAGACCCAGAGCTAGCAGAGAAGAGAGGGTGACAGCTAGATGTGGGGGCTTTAGAGTGAGGGCAGAGCCTTGGTTATGGAGTAGATACTCTTTTTTTTTTGAGACAGTCTCGCTCTGTTGTCCAGGCTGGATGGAGTACAGTGGTGTGATCTCGCTCTCTGCAACTTCTGCCTCCTGGATTCAAGGGATCCTCCTGCCTCAGCCTCCTGAGTAGCTGGGATTACAGGTACACACCACCACACCCAGCTAATTTTTGTATTTTTAGTAGAGACAGGTTTCGCCAGGCTGGTCAGGCTGGTCTCCAACTCCTGACCTCAAGTGATCTGCCTGCCTCAACCTCCCAAAGTGCTGGGATCACAGGCATGAGTCACTGCGCCCGGCCTTGGAGTAGATACTCTTTAACGAAGTTAGAAGGAAAACGAAGGTAGCATTCAGTTGGGCTGGTCAAATCAGTCTAAGATTTTTAGGGAATACAAACAGACTCAAACGTATTTTAGACTGAGGGCTATTATTTAGTAGAGAGGGGAAAATTGAAAAACAAAAATAAATGAGATGGTTAATGCATAGAGAAGGTAAAAAATGAAACTTGGGCCATAAGTGGGAGAGGTTAGTTTCTGAAAGTGGGGGGGTGAGGAAGAAGATTGAGAAGTGTGCTTCCCTTCTCCCATGGCGGGCTACTTAGTGAGCAATATTCATATTTCAAAGTAAGTCTGGGCATCCTCCCTCCTCCTAGGAAGTCTGGTAGCTATCCGCATCTCTCTGCAGCACCAGTGATACCATGTCCATGCCTTGGTTATACACTTATACCATATTGGAATGTGATTGTTTACTAAACTAAAAGCTCCTTGTGGGTAGGGGCAGTGGCTTATATTAGGAATCTGGTATGCAAATAAATGAATACTATCCGGGCTGGAATAAGCAAAGGCTATTCATTCAGGGCTTAGTGTGGCAAGGGAGTCAGTCATCATCACTTCCATTTGGCAGAGACTCAAAAATAGGCCAGATGGAAAAGCTTTATAGCAGAAAAAGGAAGGAGGTTGGGGGAGGGTGGTTCAGGTATTCCCAGCTGGAGAAGCTTACTAGTAGCGTGCATCTCATGTGATTGGTGAGGGGGCCATATCTGGCTTCTCTGGTTGGTCCGAAGTTGGAAGTTGGGGCAAAAATTAGGGTAGTTGGCCATTCCTGATTAAGACCTGACAATTTGGGGCTGATTGCTACAGAGTTCCTTGACTGATTGCTGCAGATTGTGGGTCAGAATTCTATTTTAATATATGGACCGGGCACGGTGGCTCACGCCTGTAATCCCAATGCTTTGGGAGGCTGAGGTGGGCGGATCACTTGGGGTCAGGAGTTCGAGACCAGCCTGGTCAACATGGTGAAACCCCATCTCTACTAAAACTACAAAAAATTAGCTGGGCATGGTGGTAGGTGCCTGTATCCCAGCTACTTGGGAGGCTGAGGCAGGAGAATTGCTTGAACTCAGGAGGCAGAGGTTGCAGTGAGCTGAGATCATGCCACTGCACTCCAGCCTAGGTGACAAAGCAAGATTCCATATGATCTGGCTATTGTCCATTTGTATATTTAGCCTCTCACT